ATTAAACTTGCGTAAGTTAGAATAGACTCTTCATATAAACTTCACTCAGAAGTCTGCACGGGAACGGACACACAGCCCGGCACATCCCTCCTCAGAAGGAAGGGTGCAAGTGAGGAGGGGTCAGACAGGTCCTTGCTAAAACGGCAGACGACACCAGGACCCATTTGGTCATGTAAGCAGAGGCAGACGCTCCGGAGGATGTGAGGAGCCAGGAAACCCAGGGGGCCAGGAGCACCAGGCATGGCTGCTCCCCCGGGAGGGCGCCCTCCTGCCCCCACCGCCAGGCACAGAGCCTCGCCCTCACCGCCTTCGAGAGTGCTGGCCCCACCTTCTGCCTCTGCAGCTCGCCAGGATCAGGCCCTCTCCACCTCTCCTCTGAACCACAGACATGAAGGTGCCTCTGGCTGGCAGGTCCTAGCCCACCTACCAGGCTGTGGCTGTAGAGAAGGCCGGGAAAGTGGATTTCTGGAAAACAAGGAAGCAAATTCAGAAGGTGCAGGGGAGCCAGGAAGCCTCACCAATGACCACGACACTGACCCTGGAAACTTGAACAAAAAGAGAGCGGCTCATCTCACAAGAGCTGAGGAGTCTTAGAAAAGCTCCCTTCAGGTGTGGCTGGACCTAGGCTCCACCAGCTCACTATGACGCTCCCCTGGGCCATGCTTCCTGCAGCTGGCTTTGTTCCCAGGCTTCGAATGGTGGCTCCCACCCAACCCAACACCTTCAGATTCACGTGGTTACCATGCCCAGGCCAGACGCAGGGGCCACCGGAACTGAGCCCTAATTGGCTGACCCAGGTCATGAGCCTATTTCAAACCAGTCATTGAGGCAGGGGCCTCAGGGGCAGAGAACAAGGGTCTGAACCGTTTTCAGGGAAGGACCCAATAGTATTTTCATCTGTGGTCAGGCTGCCTCTATTGACCTGACTCAATATCACTGTTGGGTCAGGAAAGCAGCCACAGGTGAGATGTAAACTAAGGGGGTGTGGCTGGGTGTCAATAAAACTTTATTTATAAAAATAGGCTTCGGGCCAATACCACACTAGACCACGGTTCCCAGAGCGCTTCATCCCACCAAGCCCTTAAGGAAACTTGGGGGTGACACGGCCGCAGGACCAGAATTGGGTGAGCCTGGTCAAACCTCCCTCAGAATGCTAAAGGCCCGAAGCTACCGAGGGCTGCCACACAGCTCCCAGGGGAGGCCAGCAGATTTTCACTGGAGAAGCAACCCCAAGATTCAGGCAGGCTGCTTTGGGGGCATGGCAGTGTCCCCAGCAGAAGGAGTAGCCCTGGGCCAGGTGTCAGAGGCCAGTGGTGTGAGGGGGCCAGAGCAGTGGCTGTGGGTTCAGGGCATCTCTGGAGAGGGCTCGGGGTCCCAGGACCTGGCACATTTTGCAAACTTAGATCCCAGGGTCGGGGAGCTCACTGGCCTTGAGTCCTCCACCAGCCACTGCCAGGCTCACCTGCCAGCCTCACTGCACTGATGGGGCCGGACACCCTCCTCCCCGCCCCAGGCCTGCAAAGCTCCCCCTCCCGAGGCCCTCCCACTACCACCTCTGCCTGGAGATGGCCCCAGCAGGGAATGCGTAACAGGGCTCAGCTACCGCCTCCCCTGAAGACGCCAGGAGGGATGGTCACCTCCACCTCACAGCTCTGTCCCACTCCCAGGTCCCCTGGGCACCAGGTCAGCCCCTAGGCCCACTGCAGCACAGCCCTGGCTGAGGAGGGCTGCCCCTCCTGCCCAGTCCCTGGCCCTCCTGAAACTTGTTCACAGGCCTCGGCGAAGCTCCCTTGAGTGTCCCCTGCAGCGGTCCTCTGCCTGGGGCCTGGCTGCACAGCACCCCTCATGGCCGCAGCCTCAGCGAGGGCTGTCCTCTCTCACACCCAAGAACCGCAGGGCTGAGGCCAGGCAGGCAGCCCACTGCACCCCACTCCCAGGCACGTTCACCCCCAGAACGCACACCTTGGATCCCCAGCCACAGCCTGCATAGCCCCTCCCATCCCCCCGACGGGCACTGTCCCCCCATGCCATGATGCTGTGTGAGGCAGTGTGCCCCTGTCCGCTGGGGGACCGTCTGACCCCTGGGCAGCTCAAAACGTGTGAGGAAGGGAAGACGGAGTGAGTCCCGAAGCTCCCTCCTCTAGGGCAGGGTCAGCCTCTCCAGGCCTCCCCAGGTTCCCAGCGGCAGCTTCTGGGCTCCAGCCACCTGGCTCAGGGGCAGAGACAGCAAGGGGATTCCACCCCACGCTGGACATCGGGAGCAGTGGAGGCAGCAACTGTCCACCCCAGAGTTTAACAAAGACAGCTCCTCCGGATCCTGAGGTGACCTCTTCTACGGCTGAGTGTGGCCATGTGAGGAGGGGTCCCAGCTCCACAGACATGGCTGAGATCCCACTTTGGATAAATCCACAGTTTTTCTTCCTAACAAGGTGATTGTTTGGGGGTGATCACCTGCAGGTGACAGGCGGGGCCGCTCGTACCAGACCTGGAGCTGGACCAGGATGCGGGGTTTTCGGCCGAGCTTAGAGTCCCAGGCCGAGGAGGCTGATTAAAGGACTTTCTCTGAGATGTTGGAATACAGAGAAAGGACGCAGCACTTGTCTGGGAATAAATTGGAATCTTTTTCCATCCTTGACAGGAGAGCCCCAGTGGTGTGGGTCTGAATTCTGCTGCTGTGACACAGCTCCTGCCTGGGAAAGGGGAGCAGCATAGTTCATTTCTGTGCATTTATATGAAGGCTATCGCTCACTCCTTCATTCACTGACGAGAGGCCAGGCCTTGGGCCAGCAGGGACAGCCACCATCTGTATGGCCCTGGACCCTGTACGCCCGACGTCATTGTCCACGGGTCTGACAGGGCCTCCACGCTCAAGACAGATGCGTGCTGAAGGGGCGCTGGTGGGTCGGGTGAATCTGCGCTGTCTCACGGCCTCTGCTCACACTGGCTCTGAGACTCTGGGCACAGACCTGGCACCTCAGGGCCTCTGCATGCTGCTCTGTGTGTGCAAGGCCCACCTGTGGCAGATGCGGTCTGCTGGCTGCCTGACGCCCCTTTCCCACCTCTTCTCTGTTTCCCACCTCACAAGGCTCCATTCTTCGGGCTTGTGGTGGCCAGGGGACTTCGCCCTAGCCGACAGAGCATTGGCACAAGTCAGCTGGGGAGGGGCACTCTGGGAAGACTCTTTCTTACTGAAGGGAAAGCTGTACGTCTCAGGCAGCCAGAGGGCCAGGCCAAGCTGCAGGGTCCTGACCACGGGAGGCTGGGGAAGGATAGAGCCCCACCCCGACAGGCCCAGCCACCAGCAGCCCTGGAAGGTCAGGTTCCCGGGTTCAGGCCACCACAGTGCCAGTTTCTGTTTGCTGCACCCGAGGGCTCCTCCTTACTCCCGGCTGAGGGCAGGTATGAAGGTGGCCCGGGTGAGGTCCCCAACACCCTTACAGCCTTGTTTTAACCTGATCACCTCTTGAAATCACCATCTCCAAATACAGTCACACTGTGAGGTCTTGGGGGTCTAGGGCTTCAAACATAGAAATCTCAGGACATGCCATTCAGCCCCTAGCAGTGCCCCACGGCAGGACACAGGGCTTCCCAGCTGTGACGCCCCAGCGCCCGTCCTGGGAGGAAGGGTTTGTGATCACAGGACTGTCACATCACGTGGCACTTCTCAGCCATCTCAGCTGCACACAGCAACGCAAAGGAATCCCAGATCCACAGTGCTAAGCACAAGAAGCCAGACACAAGTGCTGGAAGGTTCCATCCACATAAAGGACAAACCCAGGTGAACTCATCTGTGACACCAGAAGTCAATGTGAGCTTATGAGGTTCCTACAGCAAATGACCACAGACTTGGGGCTTGAAACAACAGGAATTTATTCCTTCAGTCTGAAATCACCGGGAATTTACTCCTTCAGTCTGAAATCACCGGGAATTTACTCCATCAGTCTGAAATCACCGGGAATTTACTCCTTCAGTCTGAAATCACGGGAATTAATTCCGTCAGTCAGAAATCAAGGGAATTTATTCCGCCAGTCCGAAACCACCGGGAATTAATTCCGCCAGTCCGAAATCACCGGGAATTAATTCCGCCAGTCCGAAATCACCGGGAATTTATTCCGCCAGTCCGAAA